TGTTTGTTTCTTTCCTGTTGCACATTGAATCATGATGTGAAAGTTTTGAAAATGGCTATGGACTAAAGTTTAAATATTCGACTTTTAGGTGTTATATTTTGTATTTAGCTATTTAATGTTTGTGCAGCCTAAATGCAAGTACTGTAAAACACCAAATGAAATTACGGTAACTGTTAATGTAGACTAATGTGGACTTAAGAGACAGAGGGATGGTCTTTGTAACTGTTTTAAAAAGATAGATCAATAGCTCTGAAGAAGATAGATCTGAAGACGTGAGCAGTGATTCATGAAAGCTCATACCCTGCCACATATTTGGTTAATCTTTAAGGAGCTACTGGACTCTTGATCTTTTCTACTGTTTTTACAAGAAAAATCTTGTATCTGGGTAGCTTGATTTAATGAAGTGGTAAATGAAATGGTAGCACCAGGAGTTACTTTCTCAGCTCTTATTTATACCACAGTGTGAAATATACTGGGTTCTAGACGTGTTCAGTGATCAGCTCAAATTTATTAAGTAATTTCAGTTAACTCAAAGACAACTCTAGCAGGATCGGAGCCCTGCTTAAATGCGTGCAAAACACCACACTCAACACACACACACTCCCCGTGATAGGCTATTTACATGATAACTTTCATTCAATCCTTTCAGGATCCTGAGGGTCTATTGTTTGGGTGTTCAAGCTAGGTCAGTTCTCTGGTGCACTTTGGCCTTAATACATAACATGTGGAAGACATTTTTACCCCCTTTATACTGGTATACATAATAGCAAGCAGTCAGTTGACAATAATTGACTGTATCATTCTAAAACGAGAAGAATACATTTATTGGGGTAATTTATAACCCTGCTTTTCTCTCTGGTACAGCTTCAAAACAGCTTACAAAAGTACCAAATGTATATAAACAATTTAAAAATCAAAATATAATTAACTCCATCACAGAAGTGCATCCTGAGTAGGTTCTGAATCTGGGGGCCAGCTTACTCAGTGGGTACAGGCTACAAGCCAGGGCCTTTTGTGTCTTGTCTTTTGCCTTGTGTTTCTGGCCACACCTAGGCTCTGCCTTGAGCCATGGGCAAAGGCAGGATATAAATGTTTTAATAATCTTATCAGCTCAGGAGCTAAGCAGGGTTGATACTTGAATGGGAGATCCCCAAGGAAAACTCTGCAGAGGAAGGCAATGGCAAACCACTTCTAATTCTCACTTTATTTGAAAGCCTTTTGCTGGAGCCACCATATATTTTTTTTAATATACTACGCAATTACAGGAACAGGGAATCCGGGGGATCACTATAACTAAAAAAAGTGAAGCTATAAAGTTAAGGCAAGAATCATAATACAAGAGGAACATTCTTGAATGTCGTTCATACATTACAGCCAGGGGTAATTTCCTGCAGGAGCACACAGGAGCTTCGGCAGTAAAGAGCCCAGGGGGCGGGCACACGCAACAAGCCCCACCCCCTTCTCCCAGCAGCCCTCAGTCAGAGCAAGAAGCAGTCAGGTAAGTTGCAGAGCTCCCCCAGCCCCTTGGTCCAAAACAGTCCAGTGGCACCTTTAAGACCAAGTTTTATTCAGGTACAAGCTCTCCCTCCTCTGTGAGGACAGATCTGCACTTTCCCCCCCCCCCAATAGCCAGCAATCCAAAACAGTCAAATGGACCCTGTTGCCTTCTGACACACTTCCGGTGATGTCAGGGGGTGTGGCATATGCAAATAAGTTATGCTAATGAGCTCTTGCACCTCTTTTTCTATGAAATGACCCCTGATTACAGCAGTATTATGTCTTTTTTTCTTAATAAAATTAGCTTGAGCCATTACAGTTAATCTTTAGGTGTTTTCTAGTCCTTACTTGTTTATTTCTCACGTTTATTTTTTTTGTATTTCAGTTTAACTTGGAGTACTTTGGGAACAGCTACTTCTTTTTCCAAATCTGAACCCGCAGAGGTGCTACCAGAGCTGCTTGAACTGTCCTGTGATTTGAGATCACTTTTAGTTTCTTCTTGAGTGTTGTTGTCTTTCTTTCCTTCGTCTTTTGTCGAGCTTTGTTGTTGTTCCAAAAAAGCTTTAGCTTTCTGTGCAGAGTCAATCTTCATCTTCTTATCATTGTGGTTGAATACCAGTCCTTCTGGAAATATCCATATGAAGGGAATGGATTTGTTATGTAGAAAGAAAGTTAATTCCTTATATTGACACCTTCGCTTCCGTATCTCAAATGGAATGTCCTTTAAGATTCTCACTTCTTCGTCTTCCACCTTCAGAGTTTTCCCAGATGTCGCTTTCAGAACTCCATCTTTGGTTGATCTTTTGGAGAATTTAACAAATATTTCACCAGTTAGCTTATTTGTCTTTATAAAATCTGGATAAATTCGATATGCCAAGTCCATATCATTTTGTAATAAATCTTGTTTAAACTCTGTCACTGGTGCTAATGCTTCACTTAATAATTTTTGTAAGTTTTCTCCTTTCTGTTCTGGGATACCCTGGAAGTGTAGGACATACATTGATCTTTCCATTTGAAGCTGTAACAGTTGCTCTTTGTCAGAAATTCGCTCTTTCCCCACTGCCTCCAGCTTCTGTTTAATATCAACTGTTTTTGCATCAACTTTCTGAATAACCTTGTCAGTATTGTCTGCTCTTTTGTCAATTCCCATCAATTTCTTTTGGAAACCATCGAGTTTATTGTTGATGTTAGACATCTGATCCAGCAGAGGGCACAATGCCGCTGCCAACATACTAGGGAAATCAGTGGCTGCTTCCGGCATACAAGTAGGAGTTGCTGACTGGGTAGTTCCTGCAGAGGGTTTCTTCTCCAGCACTATTTTTCTCCCTCTACCTGACATTGTTTAGACAAGATAAAGTTTGTTTAAGTCAGAGTGAAAGTTCTTCGATTTGAATGCACTTTGGACTATTTTGCACCTTTTGATCTTATTTAAAGTCTTTCGCAGTCAGTATCGTTTTTCCCTTCAGGTTATTGCTTAAGAACCGCCAAATTTCAGAGGGGGGGAATCCCCAACTCCTCCCCGCCCACTATTCTGTCCCATAGGTTAATTCCGTTCTCTTTGATGGCTCAGCAGCTTAAAGGGGATTCACTTAACTTACAGTTTGTGATGTTTAAAATGTAGCAAGAACATGTTTACGCTGGATCGCTTGCCTGCTTCATCCAGCAGTCATCTCTAATCGCCATGATGGCTTCGCGGCGGCAGGACCTTTTGGGGTAAGGGGAGCCTCAATTCCTTGGTCCTCGCCTTGGAAGAGGCACCCCTCAGCACCTCAGGCAGAGAGCCCCCTACAAAGGCTCCAGGGGGGCTCGGAATCCTCCAAGACCCCTCCCTGTCTGCCGTGACTCGGGCGCCCACATCAGAGCTCGATGGGATGCATCCGATCCATGAGTCGCCAAAACTGGAAGCTGGGGCCACCATAATTCAACTGTGACTTGACAGCCTTACATAAGTAACATTCTAAAATAAGCCTTGTATTTTAAAGGTTATTGGTGGCTTGCTTTCTAAACAGCTGGACAACCAATGTCTATTTAGATAAGATGGTCTAATAGGCTTTTTGTGTGCCTGACAAGGACAGGCTCAGGAAGCAAGATGGATGATGTTGCCTGATCAAAAGTTTCCCAACACTAAAGCAGAATATAGTCTGAATAAAATGCTTTGAAATTTAGTATAGCCAGGGGTCATTTCCTGGGGGAGTGCACAGGAGCGGAGCTCCGGCAGTAAGGAGCCCAGGGGGCGGGCACATGCAACAAGCCCTGGTCTAAATTGCCATCCTCAGCTCCCAGCAGCCCTGCTCCCACCCTGCTCCCAGCAGCCCTCAGTCAGGCCACAAGGAGCAAGCAGCCAGGTAAATTGCAGAGCTCCCCCCCCAGCTCACCTTCAGGTATAAGCTCTCCCTCCTCTGTGAGGGCAGATCTGCGCAACCCCCCCCCCCAATAGCTATCAATCCAAAACAGTCCAGTGGAGCCTGAGCAGTGGGTGTTGCCTTCCAGTGATGTCAGGGGGTGTGGCATATGCAAATAAGTTCTGCTAATAAGTTATGCTAATGAGCTCCTGTACCTCTTTTTCTACGAAATGACCCCTGAGTATAGCTGTATTTCCCAATTGGATTGATCAGGTGACTAACATTAATCAAAATGGCAGTTAAAATACATCACAACAATAATATGTCAAGGTTCAGAAAGCTCTTAAATGTACACAGAAAAAGTAAAAAGCCAAAACCTTACTCTTCAAAAGCCAGATGTAAGAAAAAAGCTAAAGGACAAGAGGGAATTAGCATTCTGCATGTTGAGAAGGCTTTTCTCCTTGTATATGGCTACTGTGCACCCTCATCTAGTGGTCATAGTGCCCAAGCAGGTTCCTCAGGTTGCTTGGTGGCACTCTCAAAGATGTCCTGTCCAACTTTTAACCTGGAAGGCCTTTACAGTCACCATCAAGGCTGGCAACAAGGATCAGCATGGTCTGATACGGTGTACTGGTAGGCATTTTGCTAAAGACCCTTCAAAATCTGGAGCCAACCTTGGTCATCAGGGGGTTTAAGGGTTATATAAGTGGATTTCTTGTGAATATAGTAATAACCGGTCTTCGTTCTCTTTCATTTTCCTATTGCTTGTCACGCGTTTGGTTAATAAAACACCAATATTACGACTGCTTTTGCCTTTTCACTTTTTAAAAGGGGTTGTTTCAATAAGAACCATTACAGTGAAAACGTTAATCCTAGCCTCTCCTTGCCATAGCCGGCACGTAGCTTCGGAATCCCGGCGCTAAAGGGGGAAAAGGGGGGGGGGGGGGGGCGGGTCGCTGTCGTCGAGGTCTTGCCTGCGTAACCAGCTAGCTTTGTTGCGCATGCGCCAGCTGCCCTCATTGTCCTGTAGCCAGCCGACCCGAGAAATAAACAAACTCCGCAAACCAACGAGCGCCCGAGCCGGGCACGGATGCGCGCTCCCGTGAGCAGCTCGGCGCTCCATCAGTCTCCTCCCCACTCAGCCCTTGCCTGACGCGCCGCCGCCGCGAGCGCCTCTACCCACCGCGTCCCGAGCCGTTGCGTGGACTGCCGGCGCGAGGCCGCAACCGTTGCCGCCCGCCCGGAGCGTGGCTTTGGGGCTTAGGAAAGCGGTGAGGGCCCTTCTCTTTCGTACTGGCTCCTCTGTCGCTTTCTCTCCCCGCCCCCCCCCCCGGAATTTGGGGGAAGAGGAGAAGGGGGCCCGACTCCTTCTCTCAGGAAGAGGTGTGGGGGCAGAGGATCTGGGCTGGTGCAGGCTCCGGGGTGCGGGGAGGGGGCAAAGAAGGAGAGGGCGGCGCGCAGCGGGGGTCACGATCGTAGCGCGCCTGCGAGTGACCCGGAGGGAGCCGGACAGCCCCAGTCCGTAGAGCTCCCGGTTCGGGGCTTGGCAGCAGGTGCCGCCTCTTGTAGCCCTCGTAGCCAGCCTTTCTCCCTTGCTGCCTCGTAACCTCAAGAACCCCCAAGGAAGGAGCTCTTTTGCAGTTAAGTGGAAGTAAGCCGCGGTGAGCACACTTGCGCTTACTACTGAGTAAGCAGGCATAAGATTGTACTGCATTTTCTGGTGCAGGTGCTATAGGCTTCTTTAAAATGGTAACGGATCAAGCCTGCTTGCGACTCTTACAGCATAAGTTGGAGGCCCGCAGGACAGCAGTTCACTGATAGTATGCTTGCAGTATTTACTATCAGGTTAGCTTTCACGAACATTTATTGGAAAGCAAAAAGGGAAAGAATATTATCCAGACAGTGTTCTTTATCACAATGTTCTCTGTCTGAGGAATTCAGAGAACCATACATGGGATTTTCCTCAGGAAATCCTTACAGTGAACCAGTAAAATTGTTTAGGCTGAGAAACAGCATAACTGGCCTAAGGTCATCAACTGAGTGGGAATGTTAAGGCACTTAAATGCCCTACCTATGTCTGTGGAAGAGTTTAAGGCTTTGACTTGATTTTATCTTTCCTTCATAAACAATAAAAATCTGCAGAGTTGCTGCTATCAGCAGACATCTCTGTATCTAACAACCAAGAGCTGATCCCCCATTAAGTTACGCACATCTGCCCAACAGGACCAGCTGCAGCTCTCCAAACCTAGGTTAATCCCCAGGTTTGCAGACAAATCTTAGTGTTCCCCTCCCCCAAATGGTGTACAACTGTTCCCTCCAAATCAATAGCAATGGCCTTGCATGTGGAGAAATTGCAAATACCACACATACTTGGAGTTGTGAAAGATTTGGGGTTGCTGGCTGCAATAGCATAGCAAACTAAAATGACGTGCACAAATATTGCAGTGGTGGCCACCAGGAGGAGGAGGAGCTGATTGTGGCTTCCCTTCCCCAGCCTTCCCTACTTTTTCACTCCCCCTCACTGTGCTGAGGGGATGTGAATGGGCAGGAGGGGAAGGCAAGCCAGTGGGGGGAAATGCAAACCAGAGATTATGGTGAGGAGTAGAAAATTGTATTTATTCTCCCTGGTAGACTGTTGTGCTTATATCTATATCTATCTATTTTGCCATCAACTCATTGCTTATGGCGATCCCATAGGGTTTTCAAGTCAACTAACATTTAGAAGTGGTTTGCCATTACCTGACTCCGTGTCACAACACTGGTATTCCTTGGTGGTCTCCCATCCAAATAGTAGCCAGGGCCAACCCTGCTGAGTTTCCAAGATCAGACGAGATTGGGCAAGCCTGGGCTATCTAGGTCAGGGCATGTTGTATGAATAGTGTATTGGAAAGCATAAAAAACCCCACACACCTTAGAATGATTGTTTGACCCATTGTTGCTCACTGGAATATGCAGTAACCCAAGTTTTCCAGAATTGTTCTTTGGTGACAGTTAAAACTGCTTCAGTTTTGCACTGGGAGACCAACAAGGATGGGATAGAGGTCAAGGCCCTTTCCAGTATTGCCTCCTACCACCTGGATTCAGAGGTTTACTGCCTCTAAATATGGAGGTTCCCTTTAGTCACAATGACTAGTAGCTGTTGATGGACCTACCCTCCATGAATCTTTCTAACCCCCTTTAAAATCACTATGCTTGTGGCCATCACTATGTTCACTGGCTGTGAATTCCACAATTTAACTGCTTGTTGAGTAAAGTATTTTTTTTGTCGGTCCTGTACCTATCGCTCATCAGCTTCATCTGGTATCCCTGAGGTTTATATTACGCAAGAAGGAGAAAAAGCTTTCAACTTTTTCCACCCCATGCATAATTTTATAAACCTCTAGTAGAATGTCATATGGCATAAGGGAGAAGGGAGACCAGACTGTAACTTCTTTGCAGTATTATGCCATTCACAGAAGAAGGGGAAGAGCAATTCTAATTAAATAACTGTTTACACTGCAGCACACGCACACTCACCCCACCACATGGTATCCTGCTCTGGAAGTCTATGAACTCTCAGCAGTGGCATATCTGTGGATGCAGGAAGCAACCAGATGAGGGGGATGTCCCAAAAATTGTTTTTGTTGATGTTGCAATGAATGAACACCCTTTTTGCTGTTTAGCTGTAAGAATGTCTAATTTTGTGAGGATCTTAGCTGACCAAAACTCTGTTTCTCAGCCTGGGGTAGCAGGTCACATAATTTGTCAAGTACACCTGCAGTGAAGGACTGTGAAGAACCCATCCACTCATGGTGGGCTGATGCAGAAAATTTCCCATAACTCTGACACCTATGGTGCACCTCAACCAGGATATGTTTGCAACCCACCTACTGTTTCTACACCATTGAAAGCTAGCAAAGCTTCTTTATAAAATGCTAGGATGCTTTCTTGGTAGTATTGTTGATTCAGTGGGAATATTTACATGTAAACAGATATAGAATATACTTTCAATATGAGTCTGAAGGAAAAAATGACAGATCTTTGAAGTTTGCGCTTTGCCTCTCTTGGCAGTACGTACCCTTAGGGATGTTTCTGTGAAGGAAGAATTTATTACAATAAAACCAGTTAAGTTAAAAAACAAATTTGCGTGAGACCTTTTGCTGTAGATGTTGGTCAGCATTAGCTTGCTAGCAAAGGTGGTAGGCAACATTTGTGACTTCTCGCATCTGGAAAATAAGGCACTTGCTCCATTTTTCTCCCACAGTATGCAAGAATATCTGACCTGATGGTGTCACTTGTCATTGTTGGTATGTCAGGGTGAAGGGACAAAATCTCACAAAATCCTTAAGAACGTGGGACAAAGACCTGTAGGGTCTTCTCTGACAAACCTTTGAATTGCTTCACTTTTAATAATGTAGCAAAATATTTTGTAAATATTCCACAGCAATTTTGTTTCACATCACTGCACTTCAGTAAAACAAGAAGCGTTCTTTTCTTTAAAACATATTCTAGGATGGCCATCGTGCTTCCAGGGATCTAAATCCCTAAAATCCTTGCTTATAAAATCCTAGTATGCTTCCTTTTTCATTTCACTTTGAAGAGTGCATATTTAAGTTGGGACAGTGATTGCAAAATATGACAATTTCTTTCCCATTAACTATTCCTATTTTCTATCACATTTGAAGCCTGAGCTTTAATGCAGGCCAGGCTCCTAGAGAAAGAACTGTAGTGTTCCTAAGCATTTTTTACTACTAAATTTTTGTAGTCATTGCCATTTCTCCAAAAGGTCATTGCATCTAGAATTTTCCAGTACAATGGCTTTACAACTGCTGAGTGCTGAAAATGTATCACTTTTAGACTCTACTGCAAGGATGAACCATCTCACAATTTTTCTTTGTTGCTATATTAGAACTATCCATTTTGTTCAAAGAAAGGTTAAAATGTGGCAGTTTGATTTTTCTTTTGATAGATGATAAAAAACTTTAATTATTGGTTAACGTGAGATTTAGTGTAAGTGCAATTACAGTAAAACAATAGTAAAGTAATATTTCTGCCTCTTCCCCTCATTTTCCTTTTTGTTGCTTTTTCCCCAGAAGCACCTGGAATAAGAGATTTGCTTCAGGACACCCCCAGCTTTACAATGGCCTCTGCAGTTATAAGCTCAGTTCCTTCACGATTTGCTCTCTTACAAGTGGATAGTGGCAGTGGATCGGATTCAGAATCTGGAAAAGGAAGAGGAGATCAGAGTGCTGGGAAATCCCAAGTTTCAGGCAGCAAATCAATCTCTAATGAAAAGAAAAAAGAAAAGAGAAGAAAAAAGAAGGAACAGCAGCAGAGTGAAGCAAATGAGGTTAAAGGATAGTTATTTTTAATAATCAATTGCTAAATATCCTCATGTGGAGAAGGGAAAACTGAATGTGGTCAAGATTGTAGTATGCAAATATACTGGAAAGATGCTAAGGGATTCAACAGGGTTGGAAGGAGTGTCCAACATTGTTAGGGTCAGATATAAGTTTTGCTCTCAGACTACTTGAAATTTGTTTTTTAAAAAATGTTTTACTTCTTTGTTTTGCAGGTTGTGCTTAGAGTAATTTACAAAATAAAACTTAAAACAGATTATTATTATTACAGATTTTATTACACAGATATTAATCCAACAGAAACTAATACCCCAACAAAAAGTGCCAAGACAATAACACCAAAGTAGTGGAAGGATAAAACCTTAACTGCCAGGTAGATACTTTTGACAATAGAGGGTGCCACCATTGAAGAGGCCCAGTTGTCATCTGCCTAATCTCTGAAAGACTTCTGGGGCAAGATATGATAATGTTAAGTGAACAGGCAGGGTTGTTGTTGTTGTTGTTGTTTTTTTTTGGGGGGGGACAGTCCTTCCTGGTTCCAGAACATTTAGGGCTTCATAGGCCAAAATCAGCACTTGGAATTGCTCCCTGAAATAGACTGGTACCCAATGTAGATGATTCAGCACCAATGAAATACGTTCATTAGTGCAGATGCCTGTAAGTACCTGGCCTCACAGTATTCTGGATGAGCTGAAGTTTCCAAACCATCTTCAGAGGCAGCACCATGACCGTAGTCCAGTCTGGTCATTACTAAGATATATATAACTGTAATTAAGTAATTCCTTTCCAGGACTAAATACACCAGCTGAAACTGGTGAAATACATGTCATGCCACCAAGTGCAAGTTGAGCATCCTTAAGCTGTGCAGAATCTGAAAGTATCCCCAGGCTCTGAATCATGTCCTTAAGGGAAACAGGAACCCTATCCCAAACAGCGTGAATTCTGCAGCTCCAGTCTGTATGCACCCCCCCTTTCCCTCCAAACCAACAGTCTGGTTTAGGATTCAGTTTACTCTCCCTCATTTATCCTGTTACTGAATCCAGACATCTGTTCAGTATATTCACTGCTATATTTGAACCCAATTAAAAGGAGAAAGAGATGATGGACTGTAGTGGTTAGTTTGTAGCCGAGGACTGGGGGAAACCCAACTTCAAATCTATCAGCCATAAAGTTTACTAGATGACTCTGGGACATTCCCCTTTCAGCCTAGCCTACCTCCAAAGATGATAGGTTAAAAAGATAATCATAAACAGTTCCTGAATGGTGGGATAAATCTGTAATAGACAGAGAGATGAATGTTAATAGCACATTTCAGGCATTTCACTAGATCACATCTTCTAGCAGTTCCATGTAGATAGGGGGAAAAACCCCGGAATGCCATAGCATATACCATGGAGCAGAGCTAAAGTCTCCATGTATCACCTGAAATTGATCCATCAGGTAGAAGTGGATTTCCAGAAGGATAACAAAGTCAGCGAAAGCAGCAGAAAAGTCTAGGAAAATCTATAGGGTCATTCTCAGCTTGTCTTTCTTCCAGCAGAAGTCATAATTGCAGCCCAGATAACCCAATCTTAGATATGCTTCCTTGGAAATTGTCACCTATGGTTTCAGTGCAGTTTACTTCAGTGTAGGTGTCCTTAGAACATTGTATCCCTCAGTGTATGTGTTTTAAACCTAAATTATTATTATTGGCTTGGATCTCACCCACACTTTCCATGGATGGAAGGGTTTTCATCTGTGGAAACTTGACTTCCATACTTCCCTCCTCCTTCTGTCACCCAAAATGTTGCTTCTGGGGATTGAAAGTCTGCCACTAAAAGAGGAAATTTGCTAACAGCCCCCCCACTCCAGGCACAATACATCTCCTTATGTTTTGATACAGTGATTCCTTTGTTTTTGTATAATAAAGGTTATTCATTTTCTAAACAAATTATACTATTAAAACATGCATTAAGATGTTCTTGTCTCTTTGATTCAGAGACTCTCTCACTGTTGCACTCCTAATTTACTGTTTTGTAGCTACATAAGATCCTTGGTAGTAATGCGACTATTGATATGGAATTCACATTAAAGAACCTGAGTTTTATTATTACACTTCTAGAACATGTCTTTTAAAGAGGACATATATGTGCTATGGGTATTTCATAGTGCTGAAATTCATGTCCATTGTTTCCCTTTGCAGCTCAGAAACCTTGCTTTCAAAAAAATTCCTCAGAAGTCTTCCCATGGAGCCTGCTTATCGCAACATGAGCAAACATCACACAGTTCAGTACAGAAAGATTCTCAGGAAGAAAACTGGCAAGAGTGGAGACAAAGAGATGAACAGGTAGTTAAACTTGCTACCTTGAATATTTTGCTTTAAGTATTCAGAATTGTGCTTGATAAAACTTTGCTACAAATTTAGCTTTTCTATTTACAGTAAGATAAGCTGGTATCTAGGACTGTTTTGTGTAACTGTTTATAAGCATATATACTCAGAAGTTATATTAAATTTAGTGAGACTTACTTTATTCAGGTTGTTTAGGATTGCAGGCTTATGGACAAAAGAACCAATGGCTTACAAAGGAAGGTATAAAATCAACAGATGGAAATAAAGTTTGATCCCATTTCTCAATTGCTTTAGTGAGGGCTAAACATAAAGGTTGTTTCCTCTTCCATACTCTATTGCTGACTAATTAGTTCTTTTTCTCTTCCCTCTGCCCACTGATACCTCTGTACTTTCTCTCTTGTTTTACTTTATTCTTTTTTAACTTACTGCTTTATAGTTGGTTTCTGTGGTATAGTTGGGAGTTTCAAGCTCTGAAACAAAAATAGGCACGGAGGATTAGCAGGATGAATAAGTTTGGGAAATGGGCTCTAACCTAAAATGTCTGTTGAGAAAACATTCTTGACACAGTTTTCGTTAAGTTGGACAAAATACAACACGAGAGTGTTTGTGTTAGCTAAACCAATAAACTTGTTAATATCGGCATGTTATTTTGCTAACAAAACAAGTTATATTTAGTCCTTTGTGATCTCTGAGCATCATATGGATGGGATTTGCAGACCAATGATTGAGAAACTAGTTTACAGCTAGACCCAAAATCTCCTCCCCTCAAACACAGACTTGGACCATGTGTGCCATGAGGGGAGGAGTCTGCAGTAATGGGTATAGACTAGCAAGCTGATCTACCTGAAGGCAAGTACATCAGCTTGCTAGTCTATACCCTGAAGGCAAGTACAGGTGGATCATTCAAAAGTAGAGGCATAGCATGTCCAGCTCCAGAAGTTTTCAAATCATTGCTTTGCTTAGGTGTAAAGCCTACTGGTGTGAATGCACAGATAACCACCCAAAGAACAGCAATCATATAAAATCAAAGGCTTGCTTGCACTTCTAAAATAGAACAGAAGTAAAGAAAGGATATGTCCACACTGCAGATAATTGTGTCATTGGTATTGATCTGTAGTTAATCATTGCACAATGTGTTTAAAAGGATTGTTTTTACAAACAAATTTTAAAGATTGCAAAGTATGTACAGATCATGGCAAGAAAAAGTTTGTACCTCAGATTTGTACGTGCATAAGATGACTTGTACGTAGATTTCTCTTCCAGGAACTCAATTATTTTCAATCATACTTTCCCTAGATTTTGCAGAGATCTTGACTAATTTTACTACTTCCTTTTGTAGTACAGGTTGAGATTGGTGGAAAATAGTGTAAATCACACTTATACCAAAGTAGACTTCAAAACTAAGTTCCTGTCCATCTTGTTTCTTCAGCTGACTTCTGAAATGTTTGAAGCGGATCTAGAAAAGGCTTTACTTCTAAGCAAACTGGAATATGAAGAACACAGAAAGGTATTTCCTGCTTTTACTATGGCTTGATCACAGTGGATGTTCTCATCAACTCTTTGGATGAGCTCCAGGATCAAATACTTGGTTAATCTACAGGAAATATGTAGAAATTTCATTTTTTAATGTAGTTTTCTGAAAGATAGTAGTAAATTGTTAAGGCATGAAAAGAAGCTTCAGGTAACTGCAGTGCATTCAGAGAACTTTAAAGCTGCTCTAGTAAGCCTGTTTATTTTCATTTCTTTTGATCTTTTAGGTCTCATTTATTTTTTCTTGGAGAAAGGATTAGAGAACAGTGTAGCTGTTTAGATATGACATTTTTTCCCCTTCAGGTTTATAATATCAGGAATCTGACTCAAGCTATCTCCATACAAACTTGGGAGCTTGAGACCAGGGCTGCATCCCCATTGTGTTGGATATTGGGCTGTCATTGCACTGTAGCAATCATTCACAACAGAATTTTCTTGTGTAGTCAAGACAATCTAGTTAAGAATAGTAAATGACGTGGATGTAACATAGCTGTGACAGTTTAAAATATATCTAACAGTTTTGTGCTAGGTGAAGTCAGAGTAACATCAGATCAAGCAAAGGGTGCTGGCGTTTTCACATCTGATGTAGTGGTGTTGAACATAAGGGGTCTGCACCTTTGCAGGCACTGACAGGAATAAAATAGTTTTTGTGGAGTCCCTAGGCAGAGCTGAGGTTTCGTATATTTGTTCCATGGGCATAGTTTCAGAATACTAATCGACTCGTGTCAAATTATTTCAAAGTATTTTGTTTGCATACTTTTTTCCTGGTGTATATATTTTTGTATTATTCTGTGTAATTCTGAACTGGGCACTCGAGTTTACAGAGACTTCAGAGGCAAATGAGAGATTTTTGTACAAATATGGGAGACTTGCTTCGGCTCTCCGAGAGCCCTGGAGAGCCGATGGCCCATCTCTCTGGCTGGCAAAGCGTGTGGGTTGAGGGAGGAAAGCTTGTGCTGCAGCGGGGCTCCACCCTAATCACGGGAGACCTCAGCCACTAAAACCCCACCACTGGCTATAGCCCTGGGTAGAGGCTATGGGAGTTCCCAGGGGACGGGAAAAAAGAAATAGTGTGGGAAGTGGGGATACAGGGGGAAATGTACATGCTTCCTGTGAGTTCTTGCAGGTTCCCTGCTTGTAATTATATATTATCAAGCAGTTTGAAGTTAAAAACAGATGTGAGCTTTTTATTTCTTTACAGGAGTATGAAAATGCTGAAAATGCTTCTCCTCCTTCAAAAGCTGCACACAAGAAAGAGAAGAGAAAAAATCAGCAGGGAAAAGACAAACCTCTCACAGTGTCATTAAAAGATTTTCAGTTGGACAGTAACATAGGTATACTTTGTATTTATTGTATATACAAGCAACTTAATATGTTCACAGGAGTCACAAACAAAGTCCACATTTAGCTTATGTTCAAAAACTAGAAAGCAAAACAAAACTTTTTGAATCATTCTGGATATAATGTAAATCAGTTTTTGATGGAACAAGCTCAACAAAATATATCCAGAACCTGGGTGTGGGGTAGTTGTCCAGCACTGTGGATGTCCATGTTTATTTTTCCTTCTTAACCATTACCTTGTATCTAAAGCAATGAACAAAAATTGCTTGACCTAGTTTGATCTTTATGTCTTCCAAGCAACAATTCCAGTTTAGACATTTAAGGCTGTGTTGAAACAGACACTACACTTCTGTTTGGATATCTGCTTCTATAGGTGTGAGCAAGTACTTTGGCTGTGGTCCAGATTTCTCTGTATGTGAGCAATAAGCACTTTCTCACATGTGAAGGAGGGAGGCTTTGCATACCGTATAATTTGCATTTCTAAATGGTCCCCTGACCCTCTGAAAGTGCAAGGAGCTACACTGGGAGGAATGGTTCAGAAAGATCTAGTTTTTTGCACAGAACACAATGCCTTTTTTAATCCTTCCCTGTATTCAGAATATGATCCATAGTTAGCATACTTTCAAAATTCTGTACTTCAGGGTAAACAAACTGGATATTGCTTTGGTTACTAGATTTAGAAATCTCGCCAATCAGTAAACCAGAAAAATTAAAATAAGGGTTGAACTCAGTTTAGGGATTGTTAATTGATAAACTATGAGTTTGCAGTACTGACTCACTCTTGAATTGTCATTGTTATGTTTTTTGTTGGCAAGTTAAGCAATTAAATTTAATTTACAGCCCATAAACACTTGATATTTTTCATGTTGTATTTCAGATCCCGTTTCCAAAAAGCAGGAGGTAAGTCTCTGATTAAACAACCATGATTTGAAGTAGAATAATGGAATCATAGAGTTGGAATGGATCTCCAGGGTCATCTAGTCGAACCCCCTGCACAATGCAGGAAATTCACAAATACCTCCCCCCACACACACCCAGTGACTGCTGTTCCATGGCCAGAAGTAGTTTGATCTTAGCATTTTATTTATTTATTATTGCACTTCTACCCCGCCCTTCCTGCAAGCATTTGATCTTAGCATTAAGTGATCCTTAAGATCATAGAGAGTGAGTCAGTGTGGCATAGTGATACAGTGGCAGACTAGAATCCTGAGAGACCTGGGTTTTAATCCCCACTTCTACATGGAAGCTTGCTAGGTGACTTTGGGCCCATCACAAACTCTCAGTCTGGCCTATCTCACAGGGATGTTGTTGCTAGGAAATGGAGTAGGTGAGAATATGGCACTTAGCCACTTTGAGCAGGTGAGAACAATGCATTTAGCTGCTTTGAGTACCAGCTGGGGAGAAAAGCGGGATATAAATAAATGCATGCATGCAAACAGCATAGATAGTTTCCACTATGTCTAATTCTCAACATCACCCCATCTGTGGATATTTAAATCCATAAACATATAAGACAGATCTTTCTACAATGTGAGAAAAGCCTATAGGTTTGCGGAGAAATCTGAAATCTAAAAAACAAAAAACTATTCTAGAAACAGTATCTGTAGCTTTAAGAAACAAATGCCCTCTCAGTGGCCATTGCTTGGCAACCACAACGGTAATGACAGCCCTCAAGGCTTGGTTTCTGTCAGTAAAAGGCAGGGATGGGGGCAGAGCCCTTTCCAGTGCTGTTTTGACCCTTGAGGGAGGACTCATTAGAGTTAGGCTCACCAGCAGCCTGTAGGATACTTGCTACCATTTAATTTCCTTGACTTGCTAAGGCCCAGCCACTTGTTCAGCAGCAGTCACCTCATGAAAGTCAATATGGTATAGTGGTTAGAGTTTCAGCCTAGGGTCTGGGAAATCCAGGTTTGAATTCCAACTTTGCCATGGTACTCACTGGGTGACCTTGGGCCAGTCACACACACGCAGCCTAACATATAGGACTAAGGGAGGTAACCCCTGCAAGTCTTTGAAAGTTCCCCAGTGTGTAAGTGGGCCCATTCCTTGGGAGAGTCTGCAAGGGGAGGAAAACTGAGGACACTGGAACAAATAAAGGTAGGTTGGCTAGTGGTTGGGAAGGAGAGGGAAAGAGAAAATAGTGTTGGAGGGAAAATGAGATGTCTTCGACAAATCCTTGTGGGTCTGCTGCTGGTCAGCTTTTTTTCTCCCTGAAAACGTTTGCGCAAGTTACAATTAAGCAAATTGTGTTTTATGGGGAGGGTTTTTTCGAAGCTTGTATGGCAAATATTTTTGCCTGCTGCATTCTATATAAATGATAGCAAATCATGCTTGCTGTTCTTTTGAGTTAAGTACAGAAACCTGGGAATTGTGTAGTGTCTGAGAAGCTGATAACTTCATTAGAAACTTCGATTAGTGATCCTGAAATAAAATGATAGCAACCTTTTATTTTTGGGTTTGGTTTAAATTTTTAGAAAATTGCTTTAAAAATCAGGAATGAATAGTACTGTTATGTACCCCACCCCACTGCTCCACAGCATTTTGGGGCAGAAAAATGTATTGTCAAAGGGAACAATATGACCTATTTCTTTCTGTTTGTAGTTTGATCTTCAGGCGCTTTGGCATACTTTTTTCCATTTCTGTTTTGGCTTCTTTATGAATAACTGCATTATCTCAGTCAGAGGCCACATTGTGATGATGTCAAGGTGCAGTGTAACCAAGTGGATTTGGCTGCATTAAACCCCCTGCAGTACATTGACTGTGAATGGAGGAGGGAAAGAATGGATTGGCCTTTTGGTGAGGCAACCAGATGATACTCTGTGAGGTGGTGCAGTGATTTCATTGCCTGCCCTCATAGTATGGTGCATCAAGAGACAGAATGTTACTAGGCTTCCTCTGCAATGCAGATACACAATTTCTGTCTTGCTGCATGACAGTGGCAGGCAATGAAACTAATTTATCTAGGCATTACAAAATTAATGATTTTAATATATTTAATGTTTTTGTAATTGCCTTAATTTTTAGGTATATGTTCTAGTAAACCTGGTTGAACATGAGATTTAGATTTGGTAAGGGAAGGGAGACTTCTCATGAAAAATGGCAATTCAACTCTGTGTTGAATTTTATACAGAGGCTTTAAAAATAATTACATGTATTGCTTCTTCTTAATCTGTTTGTTTTACTGACAATTAATAATTGATACTTGATAGGAATTGGGATCTTCGCATCCTTCCTTGCATGATGGAGGATTCTTCAATAGACTGGAAGACGATGTGCACAAAATACTTAATAAAGAGAAAAGAAGAGAACAGGTCACAGACTACAATGGCATGGATAACAGTACATCTCGTGACCCCACACAGGCATGTTAAAACGAAACCTTAAATGTACATATCTTGAAGATTACAGCAGTAGTAGAGAATAGGGTGCCTGCTGAAGAACAAATAAATGTGAGGTATGAAGAGGCCCCAAGGTTTTTTGATCTGAGAATGATCTAGAAAGGAAACTCATTTCACAAGAGAAGAGAGTTCACATGAAGGTAGCTTATAATGTATGATACCTATATCTGCCACATTTTTATCCTGCCCTTCCTCAGGGCAGCCTATATGGTTTTTCCTTCCTTTGATTTATCCTTTCAGCAATGCTGTGACATAGGCTGAAAGAAAACCATTGACCCAAGGTAACTCAGTGAGATTTATGGCTGAGTAGGGATATGAACTCACCTTCCTGGTCCTGGCCAGTGTTCCCTCTAAGCTGAGTTAGTGTGAGCTAGCTCACAGTTTTTTAGCCTCCGGCTCACACATTTTTGTCTCAACTCAGGAAGGACGGCTCCAGAGCAAACTAATTTATGCAGCAGCCAAATCGCTCGCTCACAACTTTAATGCCAGTAGCTCACAAAGGAGAATTTTTGCTCACAAGACTCCACGGCTTAGAGGGAACATCGGTCCTGGCCCAATGCTCTGATGACTGTGCCATACTATCTGTCCATCATCTACAGGATTCTTTGGTACTTCCATGTTTGTTCTTAAATTCAGTGATTACTATGCAAAGATGCCTTTTAGTTGGTCAGAAGAGCTTGCATACATGGACTGAGGATATGAACATGGTCCCCTCCACTACAAGCAGCTACTTAAGACATCTTGGACAACAGTTTGAAATTAAGCTTGTGAAGCAACATTTGAGGGTAGAGCTCTAAAGCTGTGCTACAAGTGCAGAGGTTTACCACAAAGCTCTGTTATTGAGGGCCTGAATTTATCTTGGGGTAGTTCTTTATTTTATTTATTTATTTTATTTATTACTTTAACTTTTACCCCACCCTCCCCGCTAAGGTGGACTCAGGGTGGCTTCCACAAAACTGATGAACAATATACATTTTACAAATGATAAAATATAATAAATCATTTAAAACACAGACAAATCAATTAAAAACATAACTTCGATGGCGATAGAAATAAAGTGCAGTTTAAGGACACATTCAACGGTGCCACCACACTAGGTCATGCTGGGTCGAAGTTCACACAGGGCGCTGCTGGTAAGACGCCACTCCTAACGGAACGTCTGCCTAAACTCTTTTCACGGCTCTGCGGAACTGTGAAAGGTCCCTCAGGGCCCTGATCTCGGCAGGAAGCTTGTTCCAATAGGACGGAGCTACAAATGAGAAAGCCCTGGTCCTAGTTTCCGTCAACCTGACTTCCTTTGGGCCAGGGAGGTCCAGGCGATTTTGGGATCCTGATCGCAGTGCTCTCTGGGGAACATGCGGGAAAAGGCGGTCCCTCAGGTAGGCCAGTCCCTGACCATAAAGGGCTTTAAAGGTCAAAACCAGCACCTTGAAATGAATCCGGCAGCCAATGCAGAGTGTTAAGCACAGGCTCGATGTGCTCCCACCTGTGGAGGTCCATCAACAGCCTGGCCGTTGCATTCTGCACCACCTGCAGCTTCCGGAGTTGCACCAAGGGCAGCCCCATATAGAGAGCATTGCAGTAGTCCAACCTCGAGGTGACCATAGCATGGATCACTGCAGCCAGATCATTGTGTTCGAGGAAGGGAACCAGCTGCCTAATTAGCCGAAGATGGTAAAAGGCTGCCTTGGCAGCGGCTGCTACCTGGGCCTCCATTGTTAAGGAAGCATCCAGGAGCACTTCCAAGCTCCTGACCCTCAGCGCTGGCACCAACAGCGCCTCACCGAAGGCCGGGAGTGGAATCCCTACCCCCGTACTGTTCTGATTCAGGCATAGGACCTCTGTCTTCGTCGGATTCAATTTCAATCAACTCAGTCTAAGCCATCCAGCCATGTCCTGTAACACCCTGTCCAGATCTTCTGGGGTAGAGTCAGACTGACCACCCAACATCAGATAGAGCTGGGTGTCATCCACATATTGGTGACCACCCAGCCCATGCCTCTGGACAATCTGGGCAAGGGGGTGCATATAGATGTTGAATAACATCGGGGAGAGCACAGCCCCTTGGGCCACACCACACACTAGTGGGTGCCTTCGGGACTGCTCCCCGATGGCCACCCTTTGTCCCCGACCTTGGAGAAAGGAGACAAGCCATTGCAAGGCAAGCCCCTGAATTCTCGAGGCGGTGGGTGAGCAGCTGATGATCAACCGTGTCAAACGCCTCCAACAGGTCTAACAACAGCATCACTGCTGTTCCGCCCCGATCCAGATGTCTCCGGAGGTCATCCGTGAGGGCCACCAGTGCTGTCTCCGTCCAATGGCCCGGGCGAAAACCAGACTGGAAAGGATCTAGCATGGAAGTGTCATCCAGAAAGCTCTGCAACTGTATCGCCACCGCCCTCTCAATTAACTTGCCCAAATAAGGCAAGTTGGAGACCGGCCAGTAGTTGGCCAATTTGGCCGGATCCAGAGACGGCTTTTTAAGGAGGGGGCGGACCATCGCTTCCTTGAGAGCCCCCAGGAACATCCACCACTACAGCTTGACAGAGATACTTCCTGAATAGTCTATTTCAGTTTCCACAGAAAATATAACTTTATTGCTTATTGTGTTTTGAAATACAAGGAGTAAAGAGAGCGAGCAGTTTTAAGTGTCTCTGCATGTATTTGTAAAATATTTTGATTTTTAAACAATAGTTTGTGTTTTCAGCTCTATGTGAGATCAACATTTTCACTTTATGTAAACAAATGAGTCATATAGCATCTTAAAGATTAATGCATTGTAAGCATTCATGGCTTAGAGTCCCATGATAAGTGGGTTCTTGGTCACAAAAAGCTACAGTAACAGTGTGATTCTAAGTTCATTGAAGTCAATGGGCCTAGAAAGGAATGCACTATAACCTTTTAGTCTTTAAATTGACATAAGACACTAATTTTGTTTTGCTGTAACAAATGAACATGGCTACTGTCCCCATAATTTACACAGTATTTCTTTTTAATCTAAAGGATTTTGTCTTGAAGGATGGAAGAATAGAAAGACTAAAGCTGCAACTTGAGAAGAAAGATGCAGAAATTCAGCAACTAAAGAATGTTATCAGTCAGTGGGAGGTATGTAATCCCCAAGCAGTACTAAATGATGAATGTAAGCTAAAACGTCATCGGAAAGGATGCTTTGGCCTTTTTGCAGCATAGCTTCCCAAAATTATTTCATTAACCTCTACTTTGGTGGCCTGTATTGGTAAGAGAATATGACGCACAGAAATGATTTGAAGAAGTATTAACTTTGGAAATACTAACATGTTTGTGTGTGTTAAATGCCACCAAGTCATTTTCGACCTATGGCAACCCTATGAATTAATGACCTCCAAAACGTCCTGTCATTAACAGCCTTGCTTACAAGGTCTTGCAATCTGAGGGCCATGGCTTCCTTTATTGAATCAATCCATCTCAAGTTGGGTCTTCCTTTTTTCCTGGTATTATTATTTTTTCCAGTGACAAAAGTCCAATACCCTCAGTTTGGTTATTTTAGCTTTTAAGGAGAGTTTAAGCTTGATTCAATCTAGAACCCACTTATTTGTCTTTTTGCAGTCCACGGTGTCTGTAAAACTATTCCAATGCCACTTTTCAAATGATTCAGCTTTCATTCTGTCACCTTTCTTCGTTGTCCAACATAATAGTGGGGAATACCATAATATGAATCATCTTGATTTTGGTCACTAATGACACATCCTTACACAAGGATTCATGGTTGCCCTTCCCAGTCTCAGTCTCTTTCTGATTTCTTGGTTGCAGTCTCTTTAATATTTACATCATACAACATTTAAATTATTTTTACTTTCTTAAGTATTTGGACCTTACTTCTGAAGGCATTGAATGTGCCGTCTCATTTCCAGTCTCTCTCTATGCAAACAGCAGACACACCTTCCATAGATTTCTTACACAGAACCTCTTGATTAAAACAAAATACGTACTCACATAGGTACACAATACGAACTTAAGTATTTTAATGCAGTTGATTGTTGAGATGTAAAAGTTGCCGATCCAAACTGCATCGTACACTGTGCAATTTATATATTGGATTTTAAACAGGGAGAATATCAATTGATCATTCAAGGCAATAACTGAATTAATAAAACTTGACAATTTGTTTTTATTTCTTTCTATTCTCCCTTCTTTTACCAGCAGTAGAAGCTTTAAATATGTTTGATTTTCCAGGATTCCTGTATTGTCATATTGCACCTTCCTCTATTTTAATTATTGCCCTCCCATAAATTAGTGATTGAATATACAACTTTAAAACTAGTCTATTTTTCACACAATGTAACAGTTAAGTGAATACACCATTTATATTAATTGGGTTTCTAAAATATTTAGGCAAAGTATAAAGAAGTAAAAGCACGAAATGCCCAACTTTTGAAAATGCTACAAGAAGGTGAAAGTAAGTATTTTTAAACAAAATATTCTTTTAACAACATGTTTCATTCTAAAAAGCTTTCTAAAACTGTTCTGGGAATAAAATTCAGGCCCAGTAGGCACCTTTAAAGAACAACAAGATTTCTAGGTTGTAAGCTGAACAGTTCACTTCCACCTCAAGTGACTGCAGACAGAGCAAGATCTTTATCCTGCTTAAGGAATCTCTAAACCCTATCTGACTCAAAAATGCATTAAATACCTCTTTCCCCCTCTGCTCATCCTTTTCCCTCCTCCCTTCAGGTGTTCCAAGGACCCTGACTGGTTGTTTCTGGCTTTCTCTCCAGGCCACCACAGTACAAAGGGGATTTGCCAACAGTAGAAAAGGGGATGGACTTGGCTCTGTCTCAGTAACACATACAAGTTCAGTTTTTTATTTCGGGCAGGCCTGCACATATGAGAGGGAGCTGAGTGGCTGGCCAAGTACATGTTAACCCCTGTGGTTTTGAAGATGTCAAGGATAGTGAGTCTAATCTTTTATTTGTTTAATATTTTAGTGAAAGATAAAGCTGAAATACTCCTTCAGGTTGATGAATCTCAGAGTATTAAGAATGAGCTGACTTTACAGGTAAAGATTTCTATAATTTAAAAAACACCAGGTTTAAAAAATCAGAATAAATGTATATGGACACAAATAGAAGTAAAGTTTTGAATCTTTCCTCTGTATGGACTTCCATTAGGAAACACCCACAATTTGTGCTGATTCGGATAACATCAAATACTATGGAAAGGGCTTCAAGTGCCTCTATTCAGAAAATTATGCTTATGCTCAGCGTTATATTTATTCCAGGTGACTTCTCTTCATGCTGCATTGGAACAAGAAAGATCTAAAGTGAAAACACTGCAAGCAGAATTAACAAAATATCAGGTAATATGACTACACGAGATCTTTAATTAAAATATGCATATATTTGATCCAAAAAACCTTTAGTTTTTGTGTGTGTTTGCTCTGAAGTGGTCATTGTTCAGGACTTGCGTAGATGGTTTTTTGCTTTATGTTTCAAAGTGATGCAGACTAAAATTCTTAATTTTGTCTGCAGTTTACTTATATTGCTATTTCTCTTTCTTGTATAGCTTACTTTTTAATAGTTGTGTCTTCCTCCATCACAACCTGTTTCTTCCCTATTATGTATGGCTATCAAAGTATTTGTTTAATTTTATTAATCACACAAGCACAATCCTTTGCATGTTGATTCTTTGAAGTAAAGTCCCATTCACTGGGGTTGTTGCTAAGTAAGCGCACATAAGATTGCAGCCTTTAACTGTTGTGCAAGAAACTTCTTTCCCAACTGTGTGTTCACAGAAATCACCATTATGTCGATTTAGAACTTCTAAACCAAGTTACTCTTCTGAAGAATATCACTACCACACTCTATTTAGAATGTTATACTGGTTGATATAATCTTTCTTTCAAGAGTCAGGGACAACATTAAACTGTTCTGTATTTCCTGCCTGTGATTTTATGTCCTTTTGTGGATTAGTGCATGTGTGACTGAAAGGCATCCATTCTTTGACAGTGCTTTGTGTGTGCATTTATTTTGTATAACATACTTGTACTGTAGTAATGTAAGGGACCTGAGAATAGTGACTGTTCCCTACTATTAGTCTATGGAAGAAAGGTTCTGTTTGCGCTTGCAAGCGCAGGACTCCCTGAATGTTTTCAAAATATATGCTTTCTTTGAAACATTCTCCAATATAATTTTTAAATTACTTTCTGAGATGTACTCTCTACATAATTGTCTCAAATAATAGCTTTCAGATGAAATGAAGGAGCATTACTTTGGGGGAAGCAAGCTGTTTTCCAGATTTTGACTCTTCCCTTGAAACAGCATGGCAGAGTGGTTTTGTCTGTTTTCAAAAGTTTCATAAGCATACTGCATTTATACAGTAGACTGAGCAGAAAAAGATTGCATAATAATTTTTGATACAGTAGTTTTGACAAGCTTGAGCCCAGAAAAGAACATAAGAAGAGCCCTGCTGAATCAGACCAGTGGGTCATCTAGGCCAGCAACCTGCTTCACACAGGGGCCAACCAATAGGATATAGAGGCCAAGGGCTTCCCCTGATATTGCATCCTAGCACTGTTATTCGGAAATTAGCTGCATCTGAATATGGAGGTTCCCTTTAGCCACCATGACAAGTAGCTGTTGATGGTTCTATCCTCCATGAATCTGTTTAACTTGCTTTTAAAACCATGTGTGCTTGTGGCCATCACTACATCCAATGGCAGTAAATTTCACAATTCAATTACTCATTGAATAAACAAGTATTTCTTGTTGTCTGTCTTAAGTCTATTGCCCATCAATTTAATTAGTTCCCCCTGAGTGCTAGTGTTATTGGAGAGGGAGAAAAAGTTCTCTCTATCCACGTTCTCCACCCCATGCATCATTTTCTAGACCTGTATCATGCCCCACTCTTTGGGATAATGCTTTAGGAATGAGAGAATAATAGGGTTGCCTCAACTTGGGGGGAAATGTAGAAAGGGGCAACATTTCAAAAGCTTCCTCTATCCCCAGGATTCTTTAAGCTCTCAGGGATTTGAGCAGGCTAGTTGCACCCCACCCCAGTTTAACTAACACTTAACTGGTTTCAGCTCCTTGTGCCCCTATAACGTATGCAGGCCTTGGTGGGGATCTTTTGAATAATTTATGAAGTTATATTTTCTTAATATTTGGGGAGTCCCTTGAGTATGTAGAGATTGCTATCTTGTATGTACTGGACCTGTTACTACTTTTCTGTTTCATACATGGCCAGTTTTTTTACTGTTTGATGTAGTGATATCCACCCAGAAAGTGAGTATTTGTAGCTAAGTGCTTCACTGGTCAGCCTTAGTTGATGTGGACATGTGTTATCTGAATTGACCGAGTAGAAAATACATAACCAACAAATACACTGCCAAGTCTTTAGTATCTGCGGGTCAAGAATATTCAGGTATCTCGTTACAGTTTGCATATTGTTTAAACTGTTACCCTGTGAAAATGAGTCATTATTGTCCTAAAATCATATTGTGAAACAACTGCATTCAGAAAACCAAATTACAATATTCTAAATATTTGCCTTTAGTCTTTGTCTTGTGATAACATTTTCTCTTGCTTCATTCTGCTAGTTTTGGTTATACGTATCTTTTTAGTAATTCAGTATTTTTCTCCTCTCACAGGGTGGAAGAAAAGGGAAAAGAAATTCAGAGACTGACCAGTGCAGGTGATTACGGTTGCACCAGCTTCAGAGAAGGGGGTGGGGGAAGGAATCAATCTTCAGGGGTTTTGCAAGTGTATATTTGTACCTACTGCTTAACTATGCAGTTTTTGTGGGGTTGACAGCAAGATGTTAATTGACTAACATTCTGAATATATGTTGCACTTATAGTATAAGGAAGAGAAGCTGGAAACTAGTATTATAGTTGAGCTCAAACCTTGTTTGTGCAAATACTACATTTAGTTTTTCATCAGTCAATAAACTTTTGTCATTTGTATGACCTTATGTCTTCAGTTTCAATAAGGCTAACAGCATTAATCAGATATGAGATGATTGGGACCATACAATGCTTCTTCCATAATCACTTACAGCTAGAGTTGTTAACAGGCTTGGAGAGGTCTTGTCCCTTTAATAGAGGCTTAAAGTTTGGAAATGGGCTGCTGAAGTTTTCATGGCATGGTAGGAAATAACATCACATTAAGCCTTTATTGAAGGGACAAGACTTTTTTTCTTCCAGGCACCTTAACTTTCAGCTCTGTTTTATAGCTTTTCACATTTCCTCCAAAGGTTGAATGCATTACTAGGTTAATATGAAGAGGTGAACCATAAGGGAAGCAATGCAGCAATAGCATGAAGTGCCCCCTGAGATGGCCATGTGCTTGGGTGCTGAGGAGCCTCACAGCATAGGTTGTGCTACAGGAATTGCTAGGGTGGGGCCTATGCCAGTATAAGCTTAGCTGCTGGGAGATCACAGCTAAATTAAAAACACAATTATATGTCAGATCTAACAGGGCAGTTTCAGCCACTCCTCCATAGTTCTTGGCAACTATTTTGAACATTTAAGGAAAAGCATTTTATAAATGCTTTAATTAAACCAGTAGACTGTGTTATCACCCACTGTTGCAGTGTGCATCTCTGAAGACACTGTCCATCAGTTATGCATTGAATGCATCTGCTAACGCTTAGTGATGTTAGGAATGTTGAGATGATGTCACTTAGCATGTAGCATATGCCCCCACATGCACCAGACAAGCCATTTCTGAGGAAAACAGGATGAGCGCTTTTGCCTCAGTATCTTATGGAAGTGTTAAGTACGAGACTCAACACAGCTTGTGAACAGTGAATCAGTTTTATTAACGAAGTCAGAAGAAATCATGAACGAGAAAAAAACATAGAGCAACAAACTCTCTTTTAAACAGTCCGGGCTTAGGTAGCCACGCCCACAAGTCAGTTAACAACCAATCACTATTTACATATAAGGTCCAATCAGAGTGCTTCCCTCCAGAACATTGCGCAGCTCTGATTGGTGTATTTACAATCCTGCTTCTGAACTCAAGCTAATGCAGAACTTAATACATAACAACTCCTCCCCCCTAAGATGGAACAACCTGGGAACACACGTAGTCTTTAAGATAAGCAGGAGGCTGCTTGCTCCGTTGTGACAGTCTTAATGTTACAGCTGGGGGATTGTTTGGCGGTTCCCTGTTGTTAGGGCTTTCCAGTATACCTTGGGGGCAGTGTGCCTGAAACCTGTCTTCAGACTGGTAACTGGGTTCAGTCGTGATACTGGGTGGTTCTCCCTCGTGGGAGTTGTCTGAGCTCAGGAGCTCTACCCGTTCATCAGGTTTGGGTACGTCGGCCACCGCAGTATTGGGCTCAGGGTCTACCTCAGCCCACCGTTTCCTCAATTGGTCGATGTGCCGCTTGAAGACATGACCATCTGTTAGCCGTACTGCATACGTACGTGAACCCAGTACCTTGGTTACCGTTGCCGGCAACCAACGATGCCCTCCAGCATAGTTCCTGGCATAAACCAACTCTCCCTCCTCAAAACCCCTGGTCCAGTCAGTGGACTCACTCTGTGCGGGTTTGGAGGTAGTCAGGTCTGGGTGTATTCGGTCAAGGAGAGTTGTCAGCTGCCAACCCATTAGCATTTCTGCAGGGCTCCGCCCTGTCACTGAATGTGGGGTGATGTGCTGGTGCAGGAGGAACGACGCCACCTTTTGGCTCCAGTTGCCCTGCACCAGTCAGCTAAGAGTTTCCTTCGTGGTCCGCACCATTCTTTTGGCCTGCCCGTTAGTTGCCGGGTGGAATGGTGCGGACGTGCTATGTTGGATGAGATTTGCCCCAAAAAAGTTCTGGAACTCGGAGGCGGTAAAACAAGTCCCGTTATCAGACACGAGAGTGTCCGGCGACCCATGTGTAGCAAAAATGCGGCGCAGCGCATTGATCGCAGAGCCGTCATTTTAGAGGTCAGGACCACCTCCAACCATTTAGAGTACGCATCGACTATGATCAGGAAGATCTGCCCCTGAAATGGCCCCACAAAGTCGATGTGGACTCTTGACCAGGGCCGGTGACTCTTTTCCCACTGCTGTACTGGGGCTTGTGGTGGATCAGGCCAGGACAGCTGGCACCTGTGACACCTTTGCACCCAACTCTCGATGTCAGAGTCAATTTTCGGCCACCAAAAATAGCCCCGAGCCAACCCCTTCATTCGCACAATGCCGGGGTGGCATTCGTGCAGCACCTCAAGAACCTGGTTTCTCAGCTTGGGGGGAACCACCACCCTGTTTCCCCACAATAAGCAGCCCTTGTGGATTGACAGTTCACATTGCCTTGTCGCATAAGGCTTAAACTCATCAGCGACGTGCCCCACCAGCCACCCCCTCCACACCCAGTTGAGCACCCTGGCGATAGAGTCTCTGGCTGAGGCGGTCGCAACGTCTGAAGCGTGCACCAGAGGTTTGGCCAGTTCCTTGAGGGCCATTACCTCAAACGCCGGTGCCGGGTCTGAGTCCAGTCCAGGAAGAGGACACCAGCTGAAGGCGTCTGCATGCCCCATGTTCTTGCCTGGGCGATGTTTCAACACATAGTCATATGCAGACAAGAATACTGTCCAAAGCAACATCCTGGCCAACAAGATGTTGGGTGTCTGGTGGTCTGGTGCAAAAATTCCCAGGAGGGGCTTATGGTCAGTCACCATAACAAAAGGTCTCCCATAAAGAAAGTCATGAATTTTTTTCACGTCAGCCACAAGCGCCAGTCCCTCCCTTGTCTGTTTGTGCATAGTTCCTCTCGGCTGCAGTGAGTGTCCTGGAATAATACACAATTAGCGCTTCTCTCCCGTCCGCCATCACGTGGCTCAATACAGCCCCCACCCCATAAGGTGACGCATCGGCAGCTAACACCAGCTGCTTTGACTCATCGTAATGGGTGAGTATTCCATCAGAAGACAGTAAGGACTTGATTGCCTTAAACGCACGGTCATGCTGCAAGCCCCACTCCCACTTAGCCCCCTTGTTGAGGAGCTTGTGTAACGGTTCCGCAATGGAAGCTTTATGCGGTAGGAATGCATGATAAAAGTTAAGGATTCCCAAGAAGGACTGAAGTTTCTTCTTGGATCCAGGTCTTGGGGCATCTTTAATGGCCTGTACCTTACTCGTTATAGGGTGTACCCCATCAGCATCGATCAAAAATCTCAAAAATTCCACTTTGGGCACCCCCAAGTGGCACTTCGACTTGTTCACTTTTAAACCTGCCACTTGGAAACGGCCTAATACAGCCCTGATGCGCTCTGTTAGTTCGTCTTCGGTTCTCCTGGCGATTAAAACATCATCAAAATAAGGTACCACCCCAGGTAGGTCCCTCAACAAGCCTTCCATTAGACCTTGAAAAATACCTGGAGCAACGTTCACCCCAAATTGCAGTCCGTTTACTTTAAAAGCACCGCTGTGCGTAACGATGGTTTGTGCTATTGCAGCTTGTGGGTCTACTGGGAGTTGTTGGTAAGCTTGAGCTAGGTCTAATTTGGCAAAGACTTTACCTTCTCCCAATGACGCTAGCACATGGCTAATGACGGGTACGGGGTATGAGTGTTGCTGTAGTGCCCTGTTAATTGTGGCTTTATAATCAGCACAGATTCTTACTGACCCGTCAGGCTTAATTGGTGTCACAATAGGGGTTTCCCATCTTGCATGCAATATCGGTTCTAACACACCTTGGGCCACAAGTTTGTCTAACTCGGCCTCAATACGTGGTTTCATGGAAAGGGACACCTTTCTATACTTGCCGTATAGGTGCTTCCGAAGGATCTAGATCAAAGGTTACCGGCGGACCTCTATACATTCCCAGTGTACCATCAAATACATCAGCAAATTCAGTATACAGTGCATTCAGTTTATTTGCGCTGACCTGATTAATTCCACTAATAGCAATTCTGAGAGCCTCGAACCAGTCCAATCCCAAAAGGCTGGCTCGGCGCCCCTCGGCAACGAGGCTTAGTGCCTCTTGGAACCCTTTAAATTGTACCTCAAAAGTGGCTTCCCCAGCCACAGGAATGCGTCTCCCCTGGAAATTGGAGAGGTGGATACTGCTCGGCTTCAAACGCCGACGACTCCATCATGGGAACAAATGCTGCAGTGTTTCTGAGGAGATGAAGGTCACGGCTGATCCCGAGTTGACCTCCATCTCGCACAGTACGCCATTCAGCAGGCCGGTGACATGGATCTTCTTCCTGGATCATGATCCGGTCTTTAGGATGGTCGATGGGCAGGAACAGCAGTTGGTCAGATGGCAATCTGTAGACCTTGCGCTATCCTCGCCGCGAACCTGGTGACGTGCACGAGGAGACGACGGTGATGTCCTCTTCTTAGCCCTGCAGACTCTGGCCAAATGGCCCCGCTGGTCACAGGATCGGCAAACTATGTCCTTCGCCCAGCAGCGATCCCACTCGTGTTCTCTGCCGCATCTGGCACAGACTCGTCTTGGTGTGGTTTTCACTGGGGTCCGCTTGGCCCTCAGAGCTCGAGAGTGGTTGACGTCATCGCGCTCACCTTCGGACTCACTTGTTGATTCGTGGTGCACTGACTTGCTGGCCCCCTGTTGGATTGGGGTCAGGTTCTGACACACTTCTTGCGCTGCCTTCTCAGTGGCTACAGCTTCTGAGTAGGCCACAGCGTAGGTGAGGCCTTGCCGGGCGAACAGCCACTGCTCCAGATTCTTGTCTTTCATGCCACAGACGAGCTGGTTGAGGAGCGCTTCCTCCAGGTCAGAGAAGTTGCACGGGCGTGCAGCCTTTCTTAATACCAACATATACTCAGCTACCGTCTCGGTTGCCGCCTGGGACCATTTATAGAACGCGTGCTGACTAGCGATCTGCGATGGTTGCAGC